AAAACATGAAGGGAAGAGCCCCAGTTGGGAGAACTTGACACAGCGAGGAGGATTTTATTAAAATCGGTCTTGAAGAGATATAATATGGCTTGAAGGTATGGACTGCATTGGCAGGCTCTTGAAAATGAACCTCTGGGTTTCATAAAAGGCAGGAAATTTAATGCCTCGCAAGAGATCAGCAGTTTTTAAGAGGGTTTCTGTTCAGTGGAGCTAGTCGGCTAGTAATTTGGTAGTCTTAAAATGAGTGAATGACCTGAAATTTAATTCTGTAAAAGCTGACAGAACAAGTTTCTTCAAAGAAAAGAGAAGCCAGTTAAAACTGACAAACACGCACGTCACTTGTTACGGGCAGACAACGCTATTCCTCAGTCCAACACCATACTGCAAAAGTCCATGAGGGCTGATTGGAGATAGAGCTCCGTGTACTCACAGCCTCAGCATCAAATAACTATGAGCCATCATTGCCATCTGCACATAGCAATGGAGTGAAAGTGCAAACCTGGAACTGCTGCTACCAACACTGAATTTCTATGTCAGTGCTGCAAAGGCTTGACAAGCATGCTTACCCCGGAATGCCACCTGACTCCATGTGATTGGCCAACGTCACGTCATACGACCAGACGTCAAACTGCCACTTACGAAGGCCGAGCACACCACAGAGCACCGACCCAGAATGTATTCCAATGCGCATATCCAAATCAACCTGCAACATCAGGATGGTCACACGATGAAACTTTACGACGACAAAAGTTAGCACATAATCAAGGACTGGGTACACGCAAATTCAGCACGAACGTGCAAACAAATTGAAGCAGGATGGCGCTGTATTAACGTGACAATAACAAACCTGTGTTTTCTGGCGCACATACTGTATGGCCTTGATCATGTGGAGACCCATCTCTACGCAGCAATGCGCGTGGTCGGCCCGAGCACGCGGGAGCCCAGACACGCAGTAGTAACAGTCGCCTAGAAGCTTGATACGCAGACAGTGGTTCTCCTGTACTTACAGAAAACATAAAGACTGATGTATTGAGACTTCTGTGCTCGAGCACCGTGAAATTTTACTGAGAACATAGTGAAAGTCATACGTACCGCTGCAAGCTTGTCAAATCTAGCGAACAGATCGTTAAGGACACGGACCAGCTCCTGGGCACTGCACTGACTGGCCAAGGCTGCCAACAAACCAACACACAGTGCTCACATTTATCCCACCAGGCCTCATTATTTCAAGAATGTCTAATGTCAGAGATGCTGACTGCGGTCTTCTGGGCCGTGATCCCACGTGACCGGCCGGTGGTTTATCTGAAACGTTGGCCACACCTACAAGGCTACAATCAGCACCTTGACTGCTGTCAGAACCTCAGATCAGGCAAATGACTACATCCCTGTCACAAGTCGTGTTCATAAAACTGCTTCATTAGATAAGATGCGACATTTGCATTAATTGGTCGGTAATTCTAGTCAAGTTACAGACGCAACAGAACCATGCCATGATAACAAACCTGTAAAACCCTTAATGTCTGCAAACAGGATACTGACATCCTCATAGCGGTGGATGTAGATCTTGTGGAACTGGTTTGGAACAAATGCACCCTTCTCTTCCTCCTTGGCAATATCACGAATCATTTCTTTGGCAACAAAATCAGGCAAAACTGCGAACACAAGCAATAATATTTCTGTTACTTTCCCTGTTATTATACTTTAATTTTATCAATCAGTCAAAGGTTCTTAATTCCCAAATGGCACCAGTCTGTATCAAGCATTTATTTATAAAATGTTTGTTTAAATTCTAACCATTTAATAAACTCCGTATTCTTAGATATTTGTCTACAATGCATCAGCTTAACTTCACCAGCAAAGTATTAATCTAAAATTGATTTATCTTTCCATTTGTCACGTAGTGGCGTGTCGCACACAATCTCCACACCTACAGAAACACGTGTGTGTTACTGTAACATAAAAGGGCACAATTAATATTTTGACATCTAAAATACAAAGGTTTTAACTTGCAACAACATTTTTCATCTGTCTTGGATGTTTGCTCCTTGAATGCACTCGAGTCTTCTGGGTACCCCGACACCAAACACGTCGCACCACATAAGACTGTTGCTTATATTCCCAGCGAATGTGGATAAATGAAACAAATTACTTTCATTTCTCATCCTGCACTTCTTTGTTGTGATCATATAACTGGTTATTATTCGAAAGAGTTCTCAGTGCTGTTTTATTTTTTTTTCTCTCCCGAATGGGCTTCATAACAAGTCCATTTTAATATTATCCTTCGAAGTATACCTAGGTCTTTCGAGTGGCCTCGGAAGAGAGAGAGAACTTCTGGCTTTTCAACCAAAATTTTGTAGGCGCTGTACATGACCCGCCCGTCGGTTTCATCTTGACTTAATCGTCCTGATAACATTTGGTCGAAAGCACAACGCACGGTGGAAGGGACTGGTTAAAACCACGAAGTACTTGAGCCGAGACTTGAATTAGAGACTCCGAGGGACGTGACGTTCGGTAAAATGGATTACTAATTTGTTGTAACTTCTCTTCAGAACGATCTGTAACGTTGCATATGCCGAAACACCATTCAGGAAGTAGTGTTTGTGTGAACATTGAACACCACTCACAGCGTGCTACAGCGCTAAAAGTATCGATTCCTTCCATTTTGTATGTTTGATCAACACTTCAACCAACTCCATTCAATGTCAACAATGACTACAAAATGAAGGTCGTATAAAATAGTTGGCAGTGGAAATCACGTTTAACATCAGCCTAACCTCCTGCTTATTATCGAAACCGGAGCTGCTTTTAACAAATGAGTCCACAAGCAGATCGACATGGATGCAGAGTTGGCATTTGTCGATAAACGAATACTCGATTATAGACTTCGGTAACTCTGGTGAACGCGCCGACTGCATGCAACACTCGGTCTGTTTTGTGTTGTTTATTTGGCGACCCTTGAAGCGGTCGTAATGTCGATCATCGCCGCTTGAGTGCGCACACGTCCTATGAGGTCGGCTGTGATCAGGAAAAGCCATTGTAGCGGATTAACAGGCTGAATGTGTGTGAAGTGACCGTACGGATCGCTGCTCACTGATCAAGGCTCTTGTGCAGAGAAAGCGGCCGCAATGTTAAAACTGCCACATAAATCATCCTGAAGGAAATGGGGGTTCCTTAAAGATTTTCGTTGCGGGACTGAGGGAGTGAATTTATTTTGATGTCGTTGCTGCTACGGGTTAATCGATGGGAATATGTGCAATTAACTTATGAATTTCAAGCTATTTCGTGCTGTTCACGGGAAAGTCAGGTAACAAAGTGGTATAAGTGACGACGGAACTGAGGCCTGCGCCCCGTGGTTGGCTCGCGGTGGGATATGGGATGACATGCCAATTATTAAAATCTGTTTTTTCGATCTTAAAGCTGTACCCATTAGAACACGTCAAAGCCTGTCGTCTGTTGTTCGTTCAGTGGTCGTGGAACGAATGCTTTTAGGATCGGTCGTCACTCGTCGCGAAATCTTGCGCATGCGCGTATATCGAATTCCTAGCAGGGATTTTCTCCAGTTCTGCGGACTGTACTTTTAAAGCACCTTTTTTATAAGCAACAGCGTAAAGGATGAAGATTCGAGAGAAATCGTCCCCCGTAGAATTTCAACGGCTGTTACAACAAGGAGTCGGAAAACTCTTTATAATAACAGCCGTTCGACTACGGAAAGGAGTGGAACAAGAACCTAGAACGTCATCAGCGTCCCAAACAAGCGTAAATAATCCAGAATAAGATCAGACATATTTTTTCTCTGATTTTATCGAACAGAACGAAAAACGTTCGATCACGTCGTCGAGTCACCTGAGAGCAGCAGCTTCTCCTGTCGGTCGTTTTCCTTCTGCGTCCGGCACCTCGTCTCCATGGAGCGGTGCGTCTCCAGAAACGCCTTCCTCTGTCCTCTGTCCGTCAGATACTTCGTGTACATCCCAGCGAAATTCACGGCAATGTAGAGTACTGTATTATCTGCCAGTCGCTCCACGATGATTACGCCCGCAGAAGAGTCCTCCTCCTCCTGGCACAGACAACAAATAATTACTTACCGTCTACACCGGTGATCATGAATGGGGGGTGGGTAAGTACATGGAAGGAGACTGTACTATTTCACGTCAAGGGACCAAGGAAAGCAACGATATTCGTATGTCAGTCTGAGATTCGAAGTGACTATACGAGGACCTCGTCGACAGCTACAACCACACTTAGGCGACACAAGTTTAAGGAACAAATTGGAACATCTGAAAACGGAAGGTTAAGCTATCCACGTGTGTGATTAAGCCACGAAGTGGACTTACAGCTCGAGGCCTCGGCTTTACCCGCGAGGACAGGGCTTGAAACGCACTGGGTGGGTCCCGGGGCCTAGTCGGTGCTCCGAGTGGGCCGTCCAGAAGGGCTTATTTGACAAGACGCAGCAAAGGAGAAACCTACGTCGCGAGGAACTTTGGACTGACTGGTCACGCTGCACGTATTTCAGGAATCGGACGGGGGCGGCTGTACCTGTGAAGAGGCGATGTGCCTGAGGGAGGTGTACAACACGTGGAACAGAGCCGTGGCACACCCGAGGATCATGCACGTTCGCAGCGGCAGTGGCAGCATCGCGTACGTCACGAAGACGATGAACAGGAAGTACCAGACCAGGCGGACCCCGTCACTCGTCCCGTCCTCGAACCCGATCCCCGCTCCGAAGATTCCTGCAGGTCTCACAACAAATACACCACGTGCTTCAAACATCCTATCAATCAGAATTACAATGAAACAGGAGAATGGCGCATGCGCGTTACCCTGAGTGATGAGCAGAAGCCACGTGGTGCCCGCCGCCCAGTGCAGGTAGTTGTTGGCGAAACAGCGCCACCAGCCGAGGAAGCAGATGGCGCAGTTCGCCGTCATGGTGCACACGGTCCACGTGAGCTGCTCCGGGTGCGCGAGTAGGTCGTCGGCCGTGTTCGTGTTCAGCAACCATACCTGGGCAGTACAGACCGGCATGAGCGAGCAGAACAGACAGGCTATGCCCGCTCGTCGTATTGGCAAGGACTGTGTGAAAGTTAATTTTCATTCGGTAACAAATAATTCGTTGGCTTCACTTTTAGTCGAGAGAGCTTTAGAGATTCACTTGAAGACGGGGACGACATTCGGGCATAGACTGGAGGTTCCGATGGGAGCGTTAAGTACTGTAGCCGTTACCGTGGCGAGGACGATCTTGAGCAGCGAGTCCACCAGGTTCACGATGATGAGAGACTTCTGCCTCTGGCGATGGGAGTACCGCTGATAGGCGAGCTCCAGGTGATCCTCTCTGAAGCTGTTGGACAGGGAGGGGCAGTACACACCCCGGTACACGATCCCGCGCTTGAACACCTGCCCTCCTCCCTCGTCGTCTCCCCCACCCCCGGCCACCTCATCGGAAGGAGAAGCCGTCGTCTGCTCATCCCTCTGGGCTGGAAGCAGGACGAGTGGCATGAACTGGCGGGGAACAGGAAGGAGCTAGAAGTGGCAGATCAGAAGGAACACAAAGCCCGCTCGTGGCTTCAGCGGGGTGACCCGTGGATCCGACAATTCTCGATCCCCGCACTTGGAGCAGCCTTTACGTCGTTCTTACCCGCTGCATAAAACTGAGAGTGGACGCAAGACTTTCTGAATGTGACGAGTACCCAACGCCTCTGTCAAAAATCAAGCCACGGATCCGAAGGATGGCGTTCGTACCTGGGACCCCACATGAAATTACAGCCCAGAAAACGTGTTTACAACATGGCGGCCCACAGGGGGTCGATATCCCTGGCAGAGGCAGCCTCAAATCCAACCGGTGCTGGAGATGAGAGACCAAGTTTCACACCCATACGACACGAAATAACATCATTTAACATTTTCCTTCTACCCGATTCACGACGTTCTCTTACCTCGTCACTCGTCCATTCAAAAGCGACGTAAATGTTTCTCGCTCTTTGCGCGTTTCAGCGACGAGCGCGCGGGAAGTTCTTGGTTTCGGTGCGCGCAGAACAGGACGGACCGGCTCCTGCATCGGCCGTCACTTCATCACACCGCGCAGTGTTTAACTGTGATGAACGCAACAACATGCCAGCTGTTACCAGCACTGAACTCAGTGTTAACCCCAACTGGCGTCGTCGTGCTAGAAAGAAATTTCCCTCCTCTTATGCACCGGAAGGTTCACTGCCGTGCTCACAAAAGCGCGCCACCGGTCCCTGTCCTGAGCCGAATGAATCCAATCCACAGCCCCACTCGGTATTCTTTCAATTTTGATGTTTCGCCTTCCTTCTGCGCCTCGTTCTTCAGAGTTGCCTCATCCCTTCGACCAACATTTTGCATGAATTTCCTATCTCCCCCCCCTCCAACAATATTTGGCGGTCCTCGCCACGCAAATTCCTCCGGTCTTCCGGAAACCACCGGATGCTGACAAGATCCAGCAACCAAAGAATAAGATATTTTGGCAAGGAACCCTTTGTGATCCTTCGTTTACGACGTCGTCGTAACAATGAGTTCAATGCTGCCAACTGCTTGAATTGAAAAGTGCCAGGAGGGGAAAAGGTGAGACGTTTTACCGGTCTGCGCAACGGAAGTGACGTCATCAGCCTTGCCGGAAGCGACGCTAACTTTGGCGAGAGTGACGCCATCTGTTGGTTCGGATGCAGCAGCAGGTGGGGCCGAGTCGCTGGCGCCGGTCTGCTGCGAGGCGGGGGTCAGCTTCGTCTCTGACGTCAGAGACTCGAGCAGAGCCGCGCTTCGCTGGTTCGTGATCTTCCTCACGGCTCGCACCCACAGGTGTCTGCGCCGAGCAGCGCCGTTCAGCGCCCTGCAAAGAACCACGTCCCATTCTCAGTCTGCAGCTGCCATGGCGACGTTAAACAACCCGACGCATTCATTAGGCAGAGAAAATCAAGGAGGATGGGATAGGCGCGTAGCATACATAGGCGAAAATAAAAATGAATAAAGAATTTTAACCGTGAAATCTTATAAAATATATCTCTTCGAAAGTCTCCACCAAACAGCAGAATAACATCGATTTCAAAGAGTATGTGAGCTTGTAGAGTGGATTGAGATGGCATTCTAATTACACGCGCGCGCGCAGATAAAAATTGAATTTATCGATTATATCAGCGACTATCAGCAATCAGAGAAAACGTTTTAAAAAAATTAGCTTAGGCCATTTCGGAACGCAGTTTACGATGATCAAACAGATTCTGACAGATCTAAAGCAGCGAAACGCGTACTTCGGAGGCAAATGCGATAATCCCGTAGAGATCTGACCTGTCACACGCACCTGGTCGGATATTGGGGGCAGTCGCACTGACAGACGACAATGGGTGCTTACTTCAAACACTAGAAACATAATTAATTTTAATGAGAAGTTACCAAAACCGATAACTGAAACAGAGGACGCAAAACAGAAATATTTTACGTCACTACACGATGAGAAGATTGAATTAAATCGAATCGACGTTTCAGACAAATCCTCCCCACGCCACGTCCGACGTGAAATTCGTTTCAAGCATTCACAAAGCCGCTCACAATTCTAAACACAAAAGGAAATCCATGCACTGGACCCAGTTTTGTTTCTTCAAGGCGTTCTTTACGTTTTGTCGCATGGAACTATTCGGTCCGTCTGCGTAACGCGTCGTTCAGCTAGGGTCGTCCTGCCATCTATCGGTTGTATTACAAACTAAACCTCTGGCGTAGACAATGCAAGAACCCGGTTCATTAAAGTGACATTCACTTCTGCTCCCAGAAAAAAAGCAGTCACGCAAGAAGACCTAGAATTAGATGGAAAAGCCAGTTTTATTTCTAAACCTCGGAGGATCCAATCCTTATTGAGGAAGAACAAATTGGCGGTTCTAAGAGCCTCGCGAATTTTAAACTTCATTTGTGGGGTCACTTGACCTCAGTGTGGGAGACGCCCAGTGCTACAGGGTGGCACGGAAAGTGAAGTTCGGGAACCACAGCCCAGTTATTACACGCCGCCTTGACAGTGCATTTGGCTTCGAATCTCGACGGCGATGCCATTATCAATGGACTAATGTCAAAAGTAGAAGTCAGTAAACTCATCAAAATCAATTAGCTGCAGATTCTCGGCCTGTAGCCTGTGGTTTTTTATTGGTTTGCCATCATTTTCGCAGAAACATCCTGCCGAAGGAAGCATTCCCCTCCGAAACGTCTGTTAGGCCAGTGGTATTCAACCTTTTTGTTCGCGTACCCCCCAGATATAATTTCTCTTCCAACTTTGTACCCCCAAAGTTCTTGGTGTATAATTCAAGTTATACATAGTATATAATCTACATCTAAAATAAATTAAATAAATTACTTTACTGATTATTCAGTGTTTACCATAAAGTATTTTTTTTAAAAAAATTCACGTACCCCCTAAGATGTTTTCGCGTACCCCCGGGGGTACGCGTACCCCAGGTTGAATACCACTGTGTTAGGCTACACAATTCAGATGTCCAAAACGTGAACTCGAAAATCTCAAAGACCGGTTAAAGGGGAACACTGAAGTTTTAAAAAAACTTAATTTCATTTGTTTTTAATCAGGAGCGGGAAGGCACAAAGTGGGGTCTATTTCTTCCGAATTTCCTTGTTCATACGAAAAGTCGGAAAACTTAACATCCGGTGAGACACGTAATAATTTTCGTGACTGACCCCGACTTGTTAAAAACTTTACAGAATGATGTTTGAGGGCACGCGACGGAATGCGTTTCGAACCGACATCAAACAAAACACGCTCGACTCTTCGAAACCGCACGACACAACTCCAATACGAGCATAAAAAAAATAACTGGATAAAAGTGTAATTGAAATGTTGAGGCTTGCAAAAAACAGATGTTAACCGACTGCTGAACGCTGTTTGAACAATAAATTAATTAACAGGGTCGAGAGGCTTTCTGTAATTATGGATATCAGGCAGACCGAGGCAGCAAAACGAACAGAATTTCATCCTGCGCGTGTTGATGTGTAGGCAGCGTTATCTGTCACCTGAGCAATATCTCAGTGTTGCCAACACTACGCGATATAGGTACAGTCCTGGCAACAACAAAGGTCAAAAGTCTAAAAGCGGTCGGCGTGCGAAACACGACACACAGACCCAACGCTGTTACAGACGCGTCTGAGGAATTTGGAAGGACGCGGGTACCCAGGCAGGAAGGGCTGTGCGCCCCCTGCTCGCCGATCTTTCTAGAGCACTCCAATTAATTAGAGGCTCAAACTGCACTTCCGGCCGCCCTGGGAAGGCAATAATTTCTGGACTGGCCAAGCGACCGAGTCCCTTCGCCCTCTGTCTTCGGTTCAGAACTGAATCAGCTACTCCTAAAACGATTAAACTTTTATGGCCCCTGGGCATGATTTGCTGATGTGACGGCGGTGAGAGCACAAAGAACTTTTCATACCCCTGACTTATTTCCCACTGATTTCGTGTTCTGAATACAACAGGTCAGAACGTCCAAGTGTTCCGAGGATACTCAGACAAAATAATTATTAATATCGAAAGTAAACAGATTCAAATTTTAGTGCACGCCTTCACGAAAGCACGGTACCACCCCTCACAAAATAAAACTAAAATCATGTCGCCAACATGCAAAAATCAAAAAGTTCTCGGTCATTGGGCGGAGAAGCGATGCCTCGCCCGAAGGAAATGCTTCGACACTGAAGCGTTCTGTAGCACCGAACGACGACTAATTACTGCGGGGGCGGGGGAAGTTAATGGACCAGTTTAATTCAATTAAAACGTCCGGTTCACGGCGGTTTCGTTTACTTTACTTAGAACGACCTTGCTACAGTTCACGAGAGCCAAAAGTAACCTGTCGCCATGACAACCATTCCTCTAAGTCGCTACTAACTGACATGGGAACCATCTGTACGTACAGACGTGGACCTAAAGGAACCCACGTGCCAGGTTAAAAGGAGTGCAAGTCCGGAACTACACCCGACAGCGACTTCACATGACCTTTTAGCAGCCTTAAGACAATGCGTAATTTAAAAATCATATATTTAAAAAAATCGGAAAATATTATTTCCCCTTTGATTTCATGATCGTCCCAATAAAATACACAGTCATACGTCAAACACTATTTACTGTACCTACTTGTAAGCATGTTTATTTATTTCGCCTCCTATGTACCTCGATCACCCACACACAACAGAAACTTGATATTATAAAGGTAAGAGCACGTTGAACAGATGGCAGCGGCGAGTTCACTTCAAGATGACTCGGGTTCCTCAGTCTTCGTGCATCTGTACAACGCGAACCTGACGACTCCCACTCGCTCACCCAAGGCGTCAGCAAACAAACTCATTGCTTTGGTAAGTAGAAGTTCTCGTCTTCACATTCTGGCGACAAGCAGCGCAGCGCCTACAAGACGTCCTCCTCGATCCTGTACAGTCGCAGTTTGTACGGGAGCTTGTCCTCGTACATGTATCGCTTGATGACGTCATGGTCCAGCCTGACGCAGTTGCCGTGCAGATTGACTTGGCGCAGGTCCTCGCAAATGCTGTACACCAGGTTGCCGACGACGATCTTCTGGTGCCCCTTGGCAGTCGACAGCTGGAACTCGTATCTGTACCCTGAGGCGTGCTCTTTCGGGCCGATGTACTGGACGGCCGAATAGAACTTGGAGTCCTGCATTCTGCTCTTCTGCAGGAACACCTGGTCGAACGCGAATATGACCAGCGAGTACCCCGGAGTGTCGCTGACGTCGTTCAGAACGCTCGTCGACTCGGCTCCGATCCTCACGTACCGCCCGTGCGAGTCCATGACATGCTTCTTGATCAGACTTAGAGGGCCCTTCCAGGTGCAGTGCGAGCCCTGCGCCATAGGGCACGGAAAAGGTCGCCGAGGACACGCGGACTGGTGTTGGGCGACCAGTTCCAGAGGACGTATCTCGAAGCAGCCTTCGTTTCGGCACGGGTACTGCACTCTGCTGGCGATGCTTTCCAGAGCGACGTTCCGTGTGTTCGGGAGGAACGGTCTCCGGCAAGTCGGACACTCCGACAACTGCGGTCGGCACTGGTCGCAGATACTGTGGCCGTTCTCACACAGGAATATGGGAGGTGCCATGTACTCCATGCAGACAGGGCACTCCATGGCACTGAGCAGCTCCTCGCCCAGTCCGTCAGCGAAAATGCTGTCAGTTGAATCGACGTCGCTCGATTTCATGACGTCATCTGCAGCACCGAGTCCGGCCATTGTGTCCTGCGAGACAACGCAGTGTTGCGGTCGAGTCGTAACTGGACAAGGCAAATTCAAACAGATAAGACAATTTCGCTTCAGCCGATCTGGCCGAGCATCAACGGTGACCCCAAAGGCGAGCAGGATCAGAACTCACATAAAACGCGTCCGAGAACGCCGTGGCTGATCAGAAAACTGCTGCACGTGTAATTTTAACTTCACGATCACATGCGTCAGACACGTAACACGCATGGGAGACGTAAGAAATGAACACATAATTTTTTGGTAGGTGGGGGATATTTTGGAAATATGGGCGTACCTAGGAGAATAATATTAAAATTTATCGTAAAGAAATAATGTGGTCTCCAGTCATGTGTCTCAGAATGGAATCCAGTGGCGGGCTTTTGTGAACTCCGAGTTCTAAATAGGTGCGAAGCGTCTTGACCAGCTGAGCGACTATAATCTTCAAAACACGAATTCTATTCCATGGAGTTTCTTGGGGATAAGAAATATAAACGCAGAGATTTTGCTTCGTAAGCAACAAATTTCGACGTGACAGACCGTCTCCATTTTCTAAGACGTGCGGGACATCAATTGTGTGCGCGGAATTTCCCGATTACTGCCAGTCAATTGTTTCAAACCTTATCAGTCGCAGGCTTATCTACAAGGCCCTCGATTTCACTCGCGACTGCCACAAATATCATCATCTTAACTGTCACCGCGTATTCGAGATTGCAGAAACACAATACGAAGAGCCGTTAAATTTCAAAGGTCGCTGCAGAAAACGGCGAAAGACATTCTTTTGTTTCGCGCTGGAATCAGAGACCAGAAGCTTTCAACGTCCGAATAATTTCAGCAGCACAGAGCGAGAGACGCTTGAAACACGATCAAATATAACAGAACCTAATCCCCCCGTCACTACGCAATCTTCATGCCGCCATGATGCAGGTAACACGACGCACGTCTAGTTCATAACAGCCAAAAATAAGTGTCCGCTGAAATAGAGTGGCAAATCCGACACGTGTTCACAAGATTCATCTCCTGTGAACACAATTTTAAACATGTCGACTGCGGTCTTCCGTCCTCCGAAACGTCGGTAACTACCTACCTACAGAAGTTCACTGCAACCCGAGGCGTTCTTTATTTTCCTACGACCCTCCACGAGACCAGAAACAGCGAATGGCCATTACAGTCCGCTGCACTGTTGTTGCCAAAATATCGACTGTTATCACGATTAGAACAGCATGAAGACGGGGCGACAGAGTCATCGTGGAATTGTTCGTGTTCCTGTCGAGGGCCGAATTAGACCTGTGGGCCACAGAGTGCCACTCATGTAATATCTCTACGCTTCACCGACTGATTAACTGCGTTTCCAACACCGATCTTCAGAAGCGAGTAACTCGATTTCTGGACCCCTGACGGCCTCCCAAGACGTCGCCGTACGACAGGAACAAGTTCCTGCATATTCTATTGATTCCACTCTTCGTGTTCTGACTCCTGAGAAAGGTGTTCGTTCGGCAAGAGGACAAAAAGTGCGCTTATGTTTGATAACGAGTAACGAGTGTGTGCACCAAGGAACGCGGCACTCCGCATTAGCTCCTCCCCACCAAGACACGTGGAGATCAAACGAGCCAGACACTCACCGTCAAGGAACGTCTTCCCGTACTGTAGACACTGCGCGTTTCTTTCAGAAGCGTGTTGCCAAGGAGACGCACGACCAGGCAGGCAGTCAGTCACGAAGGCGCTGATCGAGGCACCTTTTCAGAGATAAAACCCGCAAGATAACACTCCCTTCCCCTCTCCGAACTTCGCAGTAGGCAAATTGCCTTCAGGGGTGCAACAAACATGTCAAGAATATTATTGATCGTCTCATAAGACGAAATTCTTAACTTCGACGCAAAATTAGAACGAACGCCAAGGACATATTTTCCGTCGAAGCCAAGAGCGGGGTGATTATTTAATGACGCTACGTGCAGAGAGCGCGTGAACAAAGTTTTATCTGGTCGGTGGGCTGCGTGGCTCCGAGCAGCGGGTTAGCATCGCCCTCGAGTAGCGTAGAGAATTCATTTTAGTTAAGAATCTGTGAAATTAAGAAATCTTTCCAAATTTGCGTAACCCACGTTTTGTCTAGTAGAAAGTGAACCAGCCTGAACTGGGAATCGAGGTGTACAATAATAATGTAAGTGTCGTTTCAGGAAACAATCTGTAGCGTCCTGGAAGGAATTCCGTATCAGCTGGGAATGTTTAGGCAGACGACAGCATCCTCGATGTCCTGCCTCCGCCACTCCAAGCCCAGTTTATTCATTACATGCGTTTGTGGACAGGGCTTTGGCGTATTATAGAGCCTGTAACCCAACGATGCAGAACAAGAGACCACTCGCGCCGGGCGACTAGCCATGCCGTCAGCTCCTCGTCGAAACGTCTATAACTGGACTAGACCGCAGACTACGGAATTAACATTCAAATGCAAGAGCAAACAATAGAACATAAACTGCACAAAACAAAAGAAAACATTACATTCTACATTTTATGGCTCTGAACCCAGTAACAATTCAGTGTTGGCCAAGACTGCGGACAAACGAAGCAGTCACATGAGTGCGCCTAAGCGTATCACGAAAGTGAATATTATTCGCCTCAAGTGCAGGAACGAGGGACACGCCGACAGCCAGATCCTTCTCTCACGGCTTGGAATGGCCACAAGTCGGGGGAAGGTCAGTTCAATCCATCGTCCACCCTCACCAGCCATCGTCGTAGTCACTTCTTTAAGGGTTAGACACTGGCTGATTTCATGGGTCGACTGGATTGATTAGGTTAGGTTAGGTTGGGTTAGTTTAGATTAGGTTAGGTTGGATTAGGTTAGGTTGGGTTAGGTTGGGTTGGGTTAGGTTAGGTTTACTGCCTTAGAGTGAATGACCAACATCCTGATTGACTGATAAGTCAGGTGATCGGTTGACTTTCCCAGTTAACTTACGTCATGAGTTGGATGACTCGCGGAGTGCATTAAGCGACCGGCTGCTTGGAGGGTTAACTGACGAATTACGCCGAGTGGCCTAGTGACCCAAACAGCTGGCATAATGAGTCTTGCGAGTGACCGACCTGGTGGCTTAACTGAGTAAGTGAGGAGCTCAGTAGCTGCTCGGTGACTTCAATTACGTGACATTTCGTGCGACACCCAACACGTTGTTTGTTGGTTATCGTTCACTTCGCAGTTCAGTCTCTGATGTAAGCAAGTCACACGGAGAATTAGTGGGATCGGCCCCAATGTACATATTTAGTTTGAGTGTGTTATCGGACCGACACTTGTTATCGCCTGATAAGGAGACGAACGGGCGGGATTCAACAGCGAGGTGCTTCACAGTCTCCATGGCTACGCGGTGACCGACAGCCACCCCCAGCAATTGTTGCAGTTGCCAAGACGACGACACGGTAAGTAAAGTTAACAGAGGCTCAAGAGCACCCGCCGATG